CAAAGCTTGAATTATTTCTCCCCATGCTCTTCGTGATTTGATGGTTTGTGAAGAGAAATCTGCTGTAATTCTGATGGGTATTCCCTTGTAAGTGATCTGTTTCTTGTCTCTTACAGCTTTTAATATTCTGTTCTTGTATTGAATTTCTGGAATTTTTATTATTATATGCCTGGGTGTTTCTCTGTTAGGGTTGTAGGTAGCTGGGGTCCTGTATGCCTCATACATCTGAGTATCTTTACCTTTTGCTAAATTAGGAAAATTCTCCTGGATTATTTCTGTGAGTAGCTTTTGTAGTTCACTTGTTTGTGTCCCTACTTCTTCTTTTATGTTCTTAATCCTTAAGTTATGGCTCCTCTTATCATCTTCTTGTCTTTGTATTATTACTGTGTGTTTCTTTGTTATTTTTAAGAAGTTTTTCATTTCATTCTCCCATGTTTCAAGTCTGCCCTCCAATTCAGATAGTCTGTCCTTAGTTTCTTTCAAGCTGTTATGCCAGTCTTGGATAGACTTCTTAATTTCTTGATAGTCCCTTTGAACCTGCTTCACATACTCAATGCTTTCTCTGTTTTCTCCATCAAGCAATTCTCCCCTCTTTTTCCGTTCTTCCATTCCACCATCTGTTTTTTCCTGGGTGGTGCTTAGCATTTCTCTAACTATTCTGCATACTTCTAGCTTCAGGTCATTGATAACTTCATTCCTGAATTGGTCTATGAGGCTCTCTATATGGCGCTTAATGTATATTGGTGCGGTGTCCACTATTGCCTGATTCTCAGGATTGGGGGCCGAGGAGCCTTTTTTGTTGCTTCCCTTCCCCATATTTTCTGTTCCTTATAAAATGCAATCTTACATAGGAGGCCCGGCTTCCCTGCCTGTCAGCCACAGCCTGATCAAATTGCGCTGGCTAGTTGTTCCCGCCCACCGCTGCGCCCCAGGGAGTTGCGGAGGAGGCAGCCTACGCGGGAGTCGGTCGCTCCTCCGGGCCACCGTCAGGCTCTGGGATCTGGGTTAGGCCAGCCTAGGGAGTCTGCCAGCAGCGTCACTCAGGCCAGGCACTTTTCGCCAATCCCGTCCAAGAGGGGAATGTGTGGCTGGAGTTGCCACCGCGCCCTGCTCTTACAGGACTGCCTGAGCCTAGAAAAACCTCCGCTGGAGTCAAACTGTGGTAGGGGGTCAGTTTCTCACTCACCTCGCCACCAGTCAGTTTTCGTGTACACCTCCTTGTCTGTCCTGTTTCCGACTCCGTTCGCAGACTCCCGTTCCCAGAGCTCGGCGCGTCTCTCCTTGCCGAGCCGCTGTGGAGGCAGCCAGCCGCCAGGCGGCGGGAAACCCAAATCGCGACGGGAAACCCAAATCGCGGTTTCCAATGGCGCGCGGTCGAGCCTCCACACCGAGACTTTTCTGTTCCTATTTTAGCGCCAGGACTGTATTCTAAGTTGGATTCTCTCAGCCCAGTTCGTTCCTGAGTCAGCAGAGCATATCTCTACTGGTTCGTATCTCCTTAGTCCGCATCATTCCTGGCCTCTGAGCTGAGGCTTTCAGAGAGCCTTCAGCAGTTGCTGTTGTCTGTCCGCCATGTTCTCCAGTCCTCCAACCCCAGCATTTTTGAGACAGGGTCTTAATAAGGTTCAACCCCTGGTAACTTAAACAAAGCAGAATACAACCCTGGAAATTATCCTCTCAAAGTTCTAGAGGCCAAATGTCAGCAATCAGAGTACCTGTAGGGCCACGTTCCGTTAAGGTTCTAGGGCAGATCCTGTTCTAGTTTCTGGTTACTTCTCTTTTTTTTTTTTTTTTTTTTTTCTTTTTCCTTTTTATCGGTACCGGGGATGGAACTCATGACCGCCTGCTTGCAAGGCAGGCGCTTATACCACTGAGCTAAACCTTGAGCTCCTACTTCCCTTTCTTGACTAAAAGCTTCCTCATCCCAGGCGCCGCCTCCTCTTCACATAGCTTTCTCTCCTGTGTGCATTTGTACATTTTTTCTCTGCTTATAAAGGTACTAGTCATTGGCCTTAGTGGCCACCTGAGTCCAGAAGTGCCTCATTATAATTAGTTATATCCACAGAGCCCTCCTCAATTTCAAATAGACATGCACTTTGGGGAATCAACATTTAATCCATTACACAGTTCAACCCAGTGTTATTGGAAAACCAGAAAAGCAAAAATTATGAACAACTGGAAAAATAAAGACTAGTAGATTATCCCAAAAATGATCATTCTGGGCTGGGGATATAGCTCAGCAGCACAGCGCCTTCCTGGCAAACATGAGATCTTAGTTCAGTTTTCAGTGCCAAAATAACCAACCAAACATAGAGAATGCATCCTACCAATAAAAATCCATGAATGTGTAATATATCTTTTTAACTGTGCAAGTTGGAGGTCATGGCGCCAGCTCTTGTGAGCCTCCCTCCATCACATCATGGTGGGACTGTAGGAGAGGGTAGGATCCATGGTGAGACAGGAAGCCAGAGAACAATTTAGAGGTTAGGCCTGTTCTTTTATAACACTCCTGTGGGAACTAACCAGATTCCCAAAAGAACTACCGTATGTCAATTCTTTCTATGGCCAGGGCCCCTAATATAACCTCTTACCTCTTAACATTGCCACCTTGGAGACCAACTTTCCGTCATATGAACCCTTGTCAGATACATTCAGACCACACATCCAAACCACTGAACACAGAATAAGCATTTAATAGAATTTAACATTTATTTAGGATAAGAAAAATTAACAAACTGAAACAAAAGAGTGCCAAATCCTATATTAAACTTCTTTTTCTTCTCTTATCTGCTTTCATTTCTTTTCTTGTCCTGGGAATTGAAGCCAGGGTCTTCACACTGAGTTGCATCCCCAGCACTTCATTTTGAGGCTAGGTCTCACCAAGTTGCCTACCCTGAGCTCAAACTTCAGTCCTCTTGCCTCAGCCTCCGTGAGTGCTGGGATTACTGGCACACACCACATGCCCATCTTGTTTTAAACCAGATCTCACTTACGTACTCTAGGCTGGCCTTGAACTCATTTTGTAGCTTTAGCCTCCAGAGTGCTGAATTGTGGGCATGTGCCACTGGGCATGGCACAAACACCTTTTTTGTTTGGGAGGACAGGATTTGACACAGGATCTTACTGTGTAGCCCAGGCTGACCTCGAACTTGCAGTGATCCTCGTGCCTCAGCCTTCCAAGTGCTGGAATTAAAGATGTATACTAGCATGTCAATAATGCCTGTTGTCATTGTTCTAGGCTATATGTATGAATGCAGCCAGCCCATATCATAGAACAAACATAAGAAATGAGATACAAAAATGGACATAACCAAGCATGATGATGACACACATCTATGATCCCAGTATTTGGGAAGTCTAAGGCCAGGGAATTTCAACGTTAAGCCCAACCTGAGAAACTTAATGACTTACTAAGAACCTGTCTCAAAAAAAGAAATAAAAGGGCTAGGGATGTAGCTCTGTGTAAAGGAGCCATAAACTGTAAGATGGTGTTTAAACCTGTGGGACTGGATGGGATCTCTAGGTATCTTCTCTACCTGTATTATTCCTTAGATTTACTAGCCAAATGTGGGGGCACATGCCTGTAATTTTGGCACCTTGGCAGGCTGAGATGGGAGGTTCAGCACAAGTTTAAGGCTAGCCTGGGTTACATAGTGAGTTCCAAGGTCAACCTAGTGAGACCATCTCAAAAAAGCAAAAACAAAAAAAGAGACCCTATTGAGGCCTGGGCCGTTCCGGCACTTAGAGATTAGGAAAACAAGAACCAGCAAAAGAGTGAAAAGGAGTAGCTGAGAATTGTGGAAGAGTGGTGTCCTGCCAGGGAGGAAAATGTATTAGGATGAAAAGAGCAATTGGCCTGTGTTGGTAAAATGAGGGCAAAGAAATAACCATCGGATTTGACAACATATAAGTTCCTAATAACCTCATGAGAATGACCTCACGAGATGATTTTGATGAATGAGGTTCGAAATCTGATGGGAATGACTTTAAGTGAACAGGAGGAAGGCAGGTATGGTAGTACAGGCTTGTAATCCCAGCACTCGGGAGGCTGAGGCAGAAGGATCGTTGTGAGTTTTAGGCCAACCTGGGCTCCATAGTGAGTTCAGCGCTGAGTTGAACTACTTAGGCAAACCCTTTCTAAAAAAAAAAAAGAATGGGAGAAGTGAAGACAGCAAGCAGATATAAATATCAAAAGCAAAGCTCTTTGAATGGATTTTGCATATGAGATTGAAATACAAGTAGTACCGTGCTTGCTTTGGCAGCACATATACAAGTAGTGGTCAGAAGTAATATGAGATTGAGGTTTTTGTTTGCTTGGGCTTTTTTACTTTTGTTTTTCATTTTTTCAAATGCATTTTATTTAAACATGAAAGAAAAAGAAGAAAAAAACTACAATAAAATTTCAAAGCACGTCAATCGGGGTAACAGTGGTACATACATGGCACATTGTCATCCCCAAATCCCCAAATTCACTCAGCAAAATACATCTGCCCACAATTGTCTGAACAATACCAGTAAAAATCTTACTCTTCAGCAAACTCAGAGATGCTTGTTTGTTTTTAAGATAGGAGATGTTAGGTATTATGTTCGTACAGTATTGGAAATGATCCACTTATATAAAAGGGGGTGATTTTTTTTTTTTTATCCTGGGAATTGAACTCACACTGCCATGCTTACCAGGCAGGGTCCATGCCTCTGAGCTATATCCCTCACCCAAGGGAGTGATTTTGACTTTACCAACTCACGACTTACTCACTGCCTGTCTTGGGTTAGAGACCATGACCGCTTAGGTTAGCACATAAAACAAGGCTCAATAAAGTTGGCTACTAGAAGAGTTTTCTAAAAACCTAATAACTAATAATATAGTATTGAATAATGAATGAAACCTATTATCTTCTGTATTTTACAAACTGTATTCTCCAAGGAGAATGCTTCAGGTGTCCTGGAAAGGGATTGGTATTTAGTTTTTGGTATCCATCCATGTGTGTCTTTCCCTGCAGAATGGAGATCTCCTCGCATCAGTCTCACCTGCTGGAACAGCTGAATGAGCAGCGCAGGCAAGATGTATTTTGTGACTGCAGTATTTTGGTTGAAGGAAAGGTCTTCAAAGCGCATCGAAATGTGTTATTTGCTAGTAGTGGCTACTTCAAAATGCTTCTTTCTCAGAATTCAAAGGAGACAAGTCAGCCTACCACAGCCACGTTTCAGGCGTTCTCCCCTGACACTTTCACGGTTATCCTGGACTTTGTCTATTCCGGCAAACTGTCGCTTACTGGGCAGAACGTCATCGAAGTGATGTCTGCTGCCAGCTTCCTTCAGATGACTGATGTCATTGATGTGTGTAAGACTTTCATTAAATCTTCCCTGGACATTAGTGAGAAGGAGAAAGATCGCTATTTCAGCCTCTCGGATAAAGATGTAAATTCCAATGGTACAGAACATTCCTCTTTTTACAGCAGCAGCTGGCAAGAAGAAAGCAGTTCTCCACATCCTCACCTCAGTCCAGATCAAGGAACAGGTGGCGTAAGTGGGAAGTCATGGAGTAAGTATAATTATCACCCAGCCTCCCAGAGGAGTACTCAGCAACCTTTGGCCAAGCATGACCAAAGGAAAGATTCCATTAAAAAGACCAAACATTTGAGATTATCACAGCCTCCTGAAGTTGCTCATTTTAAGTCAAGTAAACGAGAAGTACGAACATACGAGTCTTCCAGCCACATCTCCCAATCAGAAGAACAAGCACAAATGGATGCTGAAATGGACTCTGGTCCTGTAGGCTATCAGTATGGTCAAGGATCTGATGTCACATCCAGGAGTTTCCCAGGTACCTAAAAATAGCATAAGTATCTTCAGCCCAGTTCCAAACTCCTATAAAAATCAATCTTATCTTAATATGCCCTTAATTTAGGAATTAATCAGAAGTTAAAGTAAGTGACTTTTTGAAGGCTATTTTTCAGCATATGGGAGGCTGAGACAGGAGGATCATTGTGAGTTCAAGACCAGCCTGGGCCACAAAGTGAGCTTAAGCCCAGCCTGACCTGCATAGCGAGACCCGTCTCAAAAAGACCAAAAAAAAAAGAAGGAAAGAAAAGCTATACTTTTCCTAGCACTCAAGAAGTTGAAGCAGGGCTGGGGATTTAGCTCGGCAGCATAAGCACCTGCTTTGCAAGCATGCGGTTGTGAGTTCGATCACCCGGTACAAAAAAACTGAGGCAGGAGGATTGCTGTGAGTCCAAGGCCAGGCTGAACTACATAGCATGATTCTGTCTCATAAACAAAAACTTTTATAATGGGATTTCATAAATTATGAATTTAAGTGAAAATGTTGGATACATTTGATAGTCAAAATAATACAGTACTGAGGATCAAAACTCATGATTTTCACAGATCTATATCTGTGGGTACTTGCATTACTATTAAATGTGGTTTGTTTTGTTTTGTTTTTGTGGTACAGAAAATTGATCCCAGAATCTTCGCAATGAGCTACATTTCCAGCCCTTTTTTATTTTGAAACATCTCATAAGTCCCTAAATTGCCCAGGATGAGCTTGAATTTGTCATCCATCCATCTCAGCCTCCCAGAGTGCTTGGATTAGGCATACAACACCTTTTGCAACTCTGTTAAATGTTTAAAGTCTTTTCTTCGTGGTTCAATCTCTAAGATACATATTTTCACTTTAAATCATTTTTTTCTGTATTTCACACAAGAGGAGTATTTATTAACATAAATACATTTCTCCCTAAGATGCTGAGGATAAACCTAGGGCTGTTTGCCATGTTAATTTTTTAAAATTCAATTTTATTGTGATACTGGGAGATTAAACCCAAGTGTGCTATACCAGTGAGCTATATTCCTAGCCTTTTAAATTTTTTTTTTTTTAAATTTTGAGACTGGGTCTTGCTAAGTTGCCCAGATGGGACACAACTATAATCTCAGCACTTGGGAGGCTAGTGATGAGTTTGAGGCCAGCCAAAGGAAATTTTAAACATACAAAAGTGTGTGGACTGAATATGTGCTCTTATGTTATTGTATTTCCTCAACAATAAAATATAGTGATATAGCATTTATATTGTAGGTATTATAAATAATCTAGAGGTTGATTTAAAGTATCTGTGAAGGGCTAGAGGTTTAGCTCAGTGGCACAAGCACCTGCCTGGTAAGCGTGAGGTCATGAGTTCAGTCACTAGTACCCCCCCCCCCAATATAATAAATAAAATAAAAAAATAAAGCATATATGAAGTTATGCAGTTACTATACCATTTAGAGCCTTGAGCATCTGGGATTTCGTTAGCTGGTTTGGAGAAGGAGCTTTGCCTTGGAACTAGTCTCTAGCTCATACTGAGAGATGACTGTTTAACCTGCATTCGGGTATTATCCACTTGTAGCAACTTTCAACTCATAACTAGTCTTGTTTCATTTTCACTGATCACTCCTCCCTTCATTAATTGCTAGTCTCATTTTTGTTTTTTTTTTGAGACAGGGTTTCACTATATAACACAGGGTAGTCTTGAACTCAACTTTGTAGCTTAGGCTGGCCTCAAACTCAAGGGGATTTTGCCTCAGCCTCCCAAGTGCTGGGATTAGAGGCAGGCATAAACTGTATCCCTAAAATAAAGGCTTAAAAAATACTATGATACTTACACAAATGGAAGAGTAATTCTTTAATATCCTAAGTAGCTAATAGGGATTCACATTTCCCTGAGTGTCATACAAATTGTGTGTTTGTGGGGTTGGGGTGGGGGGGGGGGTGTTATTACTGACGATTAAACCCAGGGCCTCAGATGTACTAGGTAAGGACTCTACCACCAACCTACCTTTCCAACTTTTTGTTTGAGATAGGATTTTGATAAGTTGCCCAAGTTTTCCTTGAACTTGAGGTCATCTTTGCTCAGTTGCCCATGTAGTTTGGATTAGAGACGTGTCGCCATGCCCAATTTACTTTTTTTTAATTGTTTTATACAGTACTGAGGATCTCACCCAGGTCCACTCTTGCTAAGCATGTGCTCTACTATTGAGCTATACTCCCAGTCCCAAAATAAAATTTAAAATAAGACAACCTGATTCGATTTTTACTAACCATGTTTTTCTGCAGGATACTGATTTGAAAATATATAAAGTTGTGTGACATTGCACAGTTTACTAAAGTCATCCTGGGCTCTAAGCATTGACCAGACTATACAAAAATAACAGCAAAAAGGCAAAAATTTTTTGTATTTTAAAACAACAAGAAAGTTATTTCTATTACAGTTCTTTGGTCTTATAATTCTAAGTTATTTAAATACAACCTCAGTAATGAACAGTTGATGGCAAAATATAAACTCGACAGTGAACAGTTGATGGCACACACCTATAATCCCAGCACTCAGGAGGGTTGCTATGAGGTTGAGGCCAACCTGGTGAGTTCAAGGCCAGCCTGAACCATAGAGTGAGACCCTGCCTCAAAACAGCACAACAATTAATGATTGAGTTTTTTTAATGATTGAATTTTATAGCTGCTAAATCAACGAAGTTTGCCTCTAATCAAGTTAACTTTTCTATATAACAATAATTTGCATTTTAAAATAAATATTAAATATCCCTGAAATTTTTTAACCTTTACAAAAAGTATTAAAAGACTGAAAAATATGAGCTGAGCACAGTGGCACATGCCTGTAATTCCAGTAATCGGGAGGCAGAAGCAGGAGGATTGCTGTGAGTTTGAGGCCAGCCTGAGCTACAAAGTAAATTCCAAGCCAGCCTGAATTGCACAGTAAAACCCTGTCTTCAAAAAGAACCCCTCAAAAAAGGCTCCCCAAAAAGGTGTATGATCTGAAAAATAAAGACAAGGAGATAAAAACATGGAAATAAAACAAGTCATTTAAAAGGTTGGATATTAAGTGCTTTTGCTTTTGGATTGTGTCTATAGTGCTCAACCTTGTGACTTGAAGACAACTCTAGTATGTTAAATGAAAAGATAAATGTAGGATAGGCATTGGGCACATGCCTATAATTCTAGCGTTCTTTAAGAGGATGAGGCAGAGCCCAGCCTGGGCAATTTATCAACTTAGGAAAGACCTTGTTTCAAAATTTTAAAAAGGGCTGGGATTGTAGTTCAGTGATAGTGTGTTTAATCCCCAGTACTCCACCAAAAATAAAAACGTGCTAGGAATCATACTTCAGTGCAAAGGCCCTAGGTTCATCTCCATGGTGTGTGTGTCTCTAAATTTCCTCAGACATTGTAAATATATCAAATACTGAAGGTACCAGTGCATACCTAGGGTTACATTAACATGTAGCCCTAAAAATTCCTTTCTCCTTTTCTCTGCCTTTTTAAGATTAGACTCACCAGCTTCTTTTGGCTTCTTCCTGCTAATAGAATTGTTACTATGATGTCTCCAGTGATTTAATCACCCTGTTTTACAACAGATGATCATCCCAGGATGCAGTTCAAGTGCCCATACTGCACACACGTGGTGAAGCGGAAGGCTGACCTCAAGCGCCACCTGCGCTGTCACACGGGAGAAAGGCCCTATCCATGTCAAGCTTGTGGGAAGAGGTTCAGCAGGCTGGACCATCTAAGTAGCCATTTCCGAACAGTACGTATGTGATTTTCCATCACTTTACTTCTTAAGAAGTATGTATATTTTTCTGTTTTAGGATAAATAGATTTACAGAGGGAAGTGTTTTCATGTAAGCCTACCAATTAGTCTTCGTATTTAATGTTTTTACTTTGTGCATATGCATAACTGAATATATACATATATAGAGATTTGGTTTCACTTTGATATCTCAAAGTAAGAGATGTTCTTTCAGTGCTAATTTTATATATTTCCATTTAATTCACATCAAATCTAATTTTTGTGTATGTGTGTGTTGCTAGGGATTGAACGTCAGGGTTCATGTATGGTAGGCAAGCGTATTACCACTGAACTATATCCCAGCCTTTTCAAACATTTTTATTTTAGGATTTCACTATGTTGCCCAGGCTGGCTTAAACTGGCAATCCTCCTGTCTCAGCCTCTTGGTTATAAGTGTGTGCCACCAACTCTGGCTTTAAAGAAAAATGTTTTTTTGTTTTGTCTGAAAAAAAAGAAACAAAAAAACAACAAAAAGGAATTGTTCTATTCATCTTGCAGCAAAATTTTTTTCTAAATTTGTGTTCTGCGACTTGTATAAGAAAGTGCTCTACCACTTGTAGGAGGAGTTCTTTTTAATTTACCAGACAATGTGTCACTTATGGTTATACCTTCCTTCATTGCTTTCTACCTATTTTTTCAACAAATGCATATTGAGAACCTATCATGTGGCAGATCCTTCTCTGCATGTGAGGTACAATGAGAAAAATCAGAGACATCTCTGCCTCCATTTATTTAATAAAGCTATTATTTTTAAGAATTAAAAACCTTTTATATGTCTCTAATAAATACTGTATTTTCTCAAAAAGGATAAAAATCAGACCCTTTATCATTTCAAAGGCAATAAATATGTATGATTAAAAATAGAAAATAGCTGGGATGGTGTACGTGTCTGTAATCCTGGCACTCAAGAGTATGAGGCAAGAAGTGCTAATAATTTTCTAAGAGGCTTAAAATGTTTAGATGTGGAAACATACCTACATAAAAAACATAAATCGGTTGCTGTTTTGCTTCTTTTTTCTTATTTTTCTATTGTGGTCATTTTCTATATAAGTAAGGAGCAAACTGCTGTATGGTTATGAAATATTTTGAGAGAATGAGATATTTATATATTAATGACACTTTTATGAAAAATAAAAAGTATCTAAAAGAGAAATACTTTTTTAAAAAAGAGAGATCAGGGGCTGGGGATTTAGCTCAGTGGCATTAAGTGCCTGCCTTGCAATCAGGCAGTCGTGAGTTCGATCCCTGGTACCGATAAAAAGACAGGTCTGGGCTACATAATGAGTTCACCTCCAACCTAAACCAAATATGTAGCAAGACCCTATCTCAGAGCAAACAAACAAAATGAAATAAAGCTGGGCATGGTGACACAACCCTCTAATCCTAGCACTCAGGAGACTAAGACAGGACGATAGCTGTGAGTTCAAAACCAGCCTGGGCTACTTTCATAGTGAGTTCAAGGCCATCCTGGGCCACATAGTGAGAACCTGTCTCTAGTAATAATAATAAAAAAGCAGTAAAAATAAGAAGATAAAAAATAACTACATTCTTACCACTCAGATGTTACCATTCCTAATAATTCTATTATATATGCTTTAAAATTTCTTCATACCTATGTGTATATTTTTTAACAAAATGAGATAATCGTACTGTACATTGCTATTTTGTATACTGCTTTCTTTTATAAATAATCTCTATCTTTCCATCTCAATAAAATATTGTTGAACACCCAGTCCGATTTCAAATTTCCCTCTAATCCCCTCCAAATACCTCTTACGGCTGGCTTGTCTAAGTCAGAGTGCAGTCCAAGACCATGTGTCGTTTTACAGCTCTGTCCCTTAAGTGTATGTATTTATTTGTTTTTATACTGCTGGGGATCAGCCCTAGGGCTTTGTGCATTTTGAGCGTGTGCTTTACCACCAAGTTCCTCCTATGCTTTACTTTGTTGTTGTTTTTGACACAGGATCTTGCAGTGTAGCCCAGGTTGGCCCCACACTCAGTATCTTCCTACCTCAGTCTGCCAAGCACTGGAACAGTCTCCTGTTAAGAATATTTTTAATCTAGTATGGTTTCTACACATACTTTTCCCTCCCCGAAACACTGACTTACTGAAGATCCTGAGCAATTACTTTATAACATATTCTACCCCAGGTTTTGTCTGCTGGGGTCCACTTGATGTCATCTAGCTTGTCCTGTTATTTTCCCTGCATTTTTTTTTTTTTTTTTTTTTTTTTTTTTTGTCCTTTTCGTTTTTTTATCGGTACCAGGGATCGAACTCACGACTGCCTGCTTGCAAGGCAGGCACTTACGCAGCTGAGCTAAATCTCCAGCCCTTTCCCTGCGTTTTCTATAAACAAGTTTCAAAAGCATTCATGTATTCAGATTAAACACTTTTTTTTTTTTTTATCTTTTTTGTTTTTATCAGTACCGGGGATCGAACTCACAACTGCCTGCTTGCAAGGCAGGTGCTTATGCCGCTGAGCTAAATCCCCAGCCCCAGGTTAAACACTTTTGACAAGAACACATCTAGAGCAAACTTACACACTGCACATTGTGTCACATTAGGGCCTCTGCCTGTGTGAGGTTTAACCATCAATTGTGATGTTCATGACCTGTCTTAGAGATGGCACTGTGATTTCACCTGTACACACTTAAAGGTGCTGCTTCGTAATTAGAGATGAATCATTGTACAACTATCCATTTCCCCACCAACTATTCGTTTAATGTTTTTAGCACCAACTGATCATCTCTGTGAGAATTAATATTATTTAGAGTTTTGGAATTAGGATTTTTTCATTCCTATTCTATTATTGGGTAGAATTAAATAAAGCAAAACTTTCCTCCTCTTCCTCTTCCTCTCCCTCTTTTTTTTTTTTTTTTTTTTTTTGGAGACAGGGTCTCACTGTGCAGTTCAGGCTGGCCTTGTATTCAGTACGGAGCCCAAGCTGGCTTCAAACTCACGAACTCAGAACTCAGAACTCACAGTGATCCTCCTGCCTGAGCCTCCCAGGACTGGGATTGTATAGGCATGCACCGCCATGCCCAGCCCTAAAACTTTTCTTTTCCTGCGCTGTATGATATAAAATATAGGTCCTAAATGAGAAGCAAAATAAAATGTATTTCTTGCTGTTTAAATACCAGTTTTCAAAATAAGAGTTGATTTAATAGGCTCAACTAAGTTTTGTTGTTTTAAGATATGAAATGCCAGAAATTTTCATTGATTTATTATGTTTGGAGCCATAAATTTTCCCCCCATTACTTGGGGCTTGAACTCAGGACCTTCATCCTGAGCTATTTCCCCACCCCAGTTTCTTTTGTTTATTTTGAGACAGGATCTCACTAGGTCACCAAGTTGCCTGTGCTGGGTTCAGATTTTTGATGCTGCCTCAGTCTCAGCCTCCCAATGGCCAACATTAAAGATGTGTGCCGTCACACTCATCTGTTCTTTCTTTTTTTGTTCTTCTTTTTCGTTTCTAATGGTCTGGGTGATTGATCCTGTGCCTTTCGTGTACTAGCACACACTGTTGTATGAGCCACATCTCTAGCTTTCTTTATTTTGGTACAAGGTCTTGCTAAATTGCCCAGACTGGCCTTGAACTTGTGATCTTCCTGCAGCAGCCTCCTGAGTAACTGACATTACAAGTGTGTGCCGCCATGTTCAGCTAACAACCAGCTCATTTTAAAACTGTCTTTGTCCTCTGGTCCCAAAAGAGGCCTAGGCTAATATTGTGGTTTCTCAACCACAACACTAGAATGAGCCAATTCTCAAAGAGCCTTGATTCCTTCTAATTGTACATTCATCATTATGGAGCTATTATTTCTTCTATACTATTTCAGTGGACAGAACTAGAAGATATGTATATATTTATGTTTTTAATGAGTTCATGTTGATATTTTTCAACTTTAACCTAATGTTTCATTTAATTTCTTTGACTTTATAATTACATTAGAATTGGAGGGGTGGACACAAATCTCTGTCAAAACTTTTTAACAAAAATGTATACTAAGCCGGGTGTGGTGGCTCACGCCTATAATCCCAGCACCAGGGAGGCTGAGGTGGGAGGATCATTGCAAGTTCCAGACCAGCCTGGGCTACAAAATGAGCTCAAGGCCAGCCTGAACTGCATAGTGAGACCCAGTCTCAAAAAAAAACAAAACACATACACTATATGTGACATTCAGAATGTCTCAAAAGTTGGGTGTGGTGGCGCACACCTATAATCCCAGTGCTCAGAGGGTAAGGCCAGAGGATCACTTTGAGTTGAGGCCTGTCTGAGCTACAAAGAGAGTTCAAGGCCAGCCTGAGCTACATAGTGAGACTCTGTCTTAAAAGACAGAAAAAGAAAAAATGTTTCAAGAGAACGAAGAATTCAGTCAAACTGTATTTAATGATTTAATGATTTGACTGATTAATAGGTCAACAGTTAAGCAGAAGATAATAACTGTTCTGAAAAGTGTTCCATACATTTTCTTAGATATTGTACCAGACTATAATTTTCTGAGATATTTTTTCTGTTTGGTGCCCTACTTCTACACTGTCCTGACTTTATCTAAATGAATATTCCATAAACATTAATCCAGCAGTATGTAATTATCATAATTTTTATATTAGAGCCCAAAATCTATCATTCTTTGTTCTTTTCTCTTTTTGATACTGAGGATTGAGCTCAAGACCTCACGTTTGCCAGCAGGCCCTTACGCCGCTGAGCTAAACCCCTGACCCCAATGTCACTCTTAATAGCTATTGAAGAAAGCTGTTTATTACTAACTGCGCTGATACATATTTAATCATTCATCCATTACAACTTTTTAACCAAAGAACTCACATCTGTTAATTCATTTGGTCTTTCTATCAACCCTGTAAAGTATTACCCCCACAGGTAATACGGGAGCAGGCAGGGAGAATAATAGGGTAAGATGTGAAAGGACCACTGTACTACTTGTTCTTACCAGTGTCCATTTAGATGGTCAGCTTGCCACCTGTCTGGAGGTGCGCCTGTCATACAGTTAAATATTTTACCATCACCTTGAAAGCAGGGTTATGGTTTTTTTTTTTTTTTTTTTCCCCCAGCCCCCAAGGGTTATGGTTTTTTAAATTACTTGCTCCAAGATACATGGTAGTAAATGGTGAAGCCAGGATAAAACTCAAGCTTTTCCAGTGTGGTCTTTCTAGCATATCTTTTATTAATAAAAAAAAAATTAATGCTTATATAAAACAGAAGGTTTTTCTCCCTGAATGAAATTATGCAAAGTCCTTAGAATAGTACATGGCATCTAGTCAGTGTTTCTAATTATTATTATTCTTAGAAAGTATCCCTTTGTTATCTCAGATGTTAAAATATTGTTGGATTAAGGGATATATAAAATTATAGCCATTATATTTACAAAAAGGTAACATTTACTATTTCTGTGACAACAACTTATCACCAAAACCTGTGATCTTTTCTCTAATAATGAGATAATAATTTGACTGTACTGCATGGCTTTGAACATCTTAAGCTTATGAACTGATACCTAAGATATCAAACTGTCCTCCTTTTGAAAAATCATGTTTTACCACTCTTTAAATCTCTACACAGATTCATCAGGCATATAAACTAATCTGCAGAAAATGCAAACGCCATGTGACTGACTTAACAGGGCAAGTGGTACAGGAAGGAACCAGGCGCTACAGACTGTGTAATGAGTGCCTTGCTGAAGTTGGCATAGACAGCCTCCCCATTGATCTGGAAGCTGAGCAACATCTCATGTCCCCAGCAGATGGAGATAAGGATTCTCGGTGGCGCTTGAGTGAAGATGAGAATAGATCCTACGTGGAGATTGTAGAGGATGGGTCTACTGATCTGGTCATACAACAGGTTGACGATAGTGAAGAAGAAGAAAAGGAAATAAAGCCCAACATTAGGTAGCTGGAATGTGGCCGGACAATGCTGGCGTTTCTACAATTTATATTGACTTCCTGTATCTTTCATTCCATGGCCAGAGAGTGGTTAACAAGTTTATCCTACTGACTTAAAACATGACTGATGTAACTTGCATGCTTTCTGCACAGGCCATTGTATCTATTCTGAACTTTGTTGCCCTAATATATGTTGCTGCACTGGAAAGACATAGCTTGAGTTGGCACAATGGATAAACAATTATCTACCTTTATTACAGAGACACCCTTTTTCTTTTAATGTGGAAGAGCTTAGCAGACTTTTTTCAAAGAAAATGTTTTAAATAAATTTATCACAACCAAACATTTTGTAAGATAACTTTAATTTTGGAGCTGAAACCACCTATCATTATTCTCATGTACTAAATGGTTTAGGATTATGGCTAAAGACTAAACTATTTGAAATTGTTCCTATTTGAAATTGTCATTATATATATATATATATTTTTTTAATTTTTAATTTTTTTTTTTTGAGACAGGGTTTCACTGTGGAGTTATAGTTAGCCTTAACCATTATTATTGTACCCCAGGCTGGCTTTGAATTCACAGGGATCCTTCTGCCTCAGCCTCCCAAATGCTACAATTACAGGCATTTGCCACCATGCCTAGCAAAATCATTCTCAGTATTTTTTTTCCTTTTTTTTTTTTTTTGTCTTTTTTCCTTTTTATTGGTACGGGGGATTGAACTCACGACCGCCTGCTTGCAAGGCAGGTGCTTATGCCGCTGAGCTAAATCCCCAGCCCCCATTCTCAGTATTGTTTCAAAATGTGTGTGTGTGCGTGTGCGTGCGTGTGTGTGTGTGTGTTAAAAGGTTGACCGCAGAGTATGTGTAGACTTACAGTTGGTATTTGATATCAAGTCCAGGTCCAGGAATACTCCGTCCCTGAGCTCTGTCCCTAGCCCATTTTTATTTTTTGAGACAGTCTTGTTAAATTGTTACATTTCCAGGCTGTGATCCATCTGCCTCAGCCTCCTGGAGTGTTGGGATTGTAGGTATGTGACACCATGCCTGGCTCAGACATCTTTTTCAAACAGGAAAGATATAACGTACTACCTAAAAGTCAAGGCAGTGTATAAAAACCTGCCAATGTAGTTCTCTCTCAAAAGAAAAAAAACCTAGAAGATTCATAAGAATATAGTGCTATATTACTTATAAATATGTTCTCTCACATACTTTCTCAACTAATCAGTGAAATTAAGGCCAAGAAAGTGTAAGTAGTAGAACTGACCTCTGGACAGATTGTGATTTTGAATACTCTCTCAGGTGTCTCTACTTGTATGTCTCCTGAAATGGCAGAGGATTGAAGTCTGTCCTCACCATTCTGTAGCAGTTATAAAAATAATCCAGTCAGAATTACAAAGTATGAAAGGAGAAGTATCTTCAACCTTTATCTTTATCTAGTTACTCAAATTGTGCACTTGGTACCGTGTACTATATTTTATTTCAAGTTATTTACATGTAAATTTTAAAATATAAAGCTTTGAACAAATTACTCTTAAATGCTTTGAGCATTTTTCCTTGTTTATATTTCTGATACAAACTCTTCTCCTTTAATATATAAAGTTAAAATTCTTCCCATGACTGGGCGTGATGGCACACGCCATCTCAGCTTTAGGAGGCCGAGGCAAGGAGGATCATACAAGTTCAAGGCCAGCCTGGGCTGCATGGTGAATTCAAGCCCAGTCTGCACTACAAAGCAAGACCCTGTCTCAAAAAAAAAAAAAAAAAAAAAAAAAAAAAAAAATCCTCTTTAGGAATTATGAAACATTCCAAAATTATAGTTAAATTAGAGAATTATTTTAGTTCTAAAGGTAACATCTAAATATCAGAACTGAAGATCTTCTACCAGTTATCACAGTGAAGTCTGGTATAATTTCATTGTGCTATAGAAAGGCTCCATGTAGTATATATATTTTTAATACTGTATTTTTTTAAAACCATGATATACACCTTGATTTTTTTTTATTGTTTAATCCCGTCTTAAGTTTTCTTCTATTCTATTGTAGTACTGAGGATCCAAGCCAGGGACACTCTACCACCAAGCTATATCCCCAGCCTTTTTTTGATTTATTTTGCAGTATGGGGGGGTTCACACTGGCCTTCACACTGAATTACATACCCAGCTTTTTTTATTTTGAGACAGGGTCTCCTTAAATCACTTAAGTTGCCCAGACTGGGCTTGAACTTGTGACCCTCCAGCCTCAGCTTTCCAGGGTGCTGGCATTATAGTCACACTCGACCATGCCCAGAGAGAGCCTTATTTAGGTGCCCAGGCTGGCCTCCAACTTTCCTTTTTTTGGTACCGGGATTGAACTCACAGCCTTGCACTTGCCAGGCAGGTGCTTTGCAGCCGAGCTAAATCTCTGGCCCCTTCTCTCATTTTTTAATGAATGATTGTCCTTGATAACAGTGTGTGGCTTACTATTCTTAATTTCTTTACAAAAGTGTTACCGGTGGATGAATAGAGACTTTGTTTTGATCCTTCATTCTTTTCCAGAGTTCTAGTTGTTTCAAATTTCTAGTTATTTCAAAACTGTCTAGTATGCACTGAGTTCATGTTCTCCCAACGTGAAATCAGGATTTCTAACAATTAAGTTGCATCCTAATGAGGGAGGCATCACCTGCCATTCTGTAGTCTTACCAGAGTGATACTAACAGCTTCCACAATTATAACCTGAATTTTAGTTGTTGGGATCAGGAGGAAAGATGGCAGATTTTGAGCTTTATTCACAGAAATGAGTTAGTACTTGCATGTGTACACCCTAATGCACTTTATTTTACCACCTAAATGTTATTTAATGCTATTATCTTCTGTATGCAGACTTTACACACCTCAGCATGAACATCAGCAAAGTTCTCTGAGCACAATGCCACAGGCACTTGTAATTGTCTTTGTAGGAATGAGACTGTCTCATAACTGTTGCTAACAAGCACAGATGATCCCCACCGAACAGCTACCAAGTGCACTGGACACAGCATGTGCTGTATCATTTCAGCATCCTAAATGAACATGTAAGGCATGTTTGTAATTTGTAAATAATGAGTTCATTTATCATAACATCCACACCTAAGACTTTTGAGCCCAGTTATTCTCTAGAGTGAAACTTTCTATTGCTGATTTCTTAGAAAGTTATTCTTTAACTTTTAAATGTGGGAAATGTGTAGTAATATAATCTGTTTAAGCTTTATTTATACAAGGAATTTCTTTTAACATCAAGAAAATAATTATCTTCAGCCTGGGCTACAAAGTGAGCTAAAGGCCAGCCTGAACTGCATGGTGAGACCCTGTCTCAAAAAAAGAAAAGAATGGGTTTTATCTAGGGCAGGTTCTGCTAGCTTCTGAATGCACTTCTAACTTTATCCTCAAGGGTGTCTAATTGATGGCTGGAGTTTTGGAAAAATAAAGCACCACTGCATTTCGACCTAATGTCTGGAAGAAGAAAAACAGCAGCAGTTCAAAAAACAGAGGTTTTTCCCTCAAGATTTTTTTTTTCAACTCTTCAAATAAATTGTTTCACCAAGAAGCTCAGCACTTGGGTGCTAAGCTCTACACCTGGAGCTGTTTAGTGACTCTGTGGCACTCAGGAGCACAACTGTGAAGACCAGATGGCTTCTTGAATTCCTCCAAGCGTCACGGTTTCACTTCATTACTGATGGTACTCACTGTGTTTATAAGCAGGCAAATACAGGGCTCTTGATGAAGTGAATCACACCCGGCAGATTATCTTCCTTCCATAATCATCAAGACTTCATAAGAACGAAAGTGTTAATATTTTTGGTATTATAATTTTGAGTAATATAATCAAATAAACATAATTACTGCTTATTATGTGACCATATTACTGCTGAAAAAAGCTTATTGTTTCAATTATTTGAGTCCAGAATTAACAGTATGGAAAATCACTCAAAACAGTACAGCATAAGACGTAAGCATAAGATTTTAAGTGGAAAGGGTGAAAATAACAAGTACAGGAAGACCAAACTATAGATTTTCATGGAAAGTCCTATGTTAAATTAAGAATGTATCAGGAAGTCGGGGATATAGCTCAGTGGCACAGTGTCTGCGTGGCAAGTATGAGGTTCTGAGTTCGATTCCTGGTACAAAAAGAAAAAATCTGGGCATACAGTGTATCACTATATTACTATTTATCATTTGTATGGCATTTAATATTTACAGAGTAATAATCATGTTTTTCCTCATTTATCTTTAAGTAGGACATTTATCACACTTCCAAGGTAGAGAAATAGAGACAAAACAGTTAAACAACTTATATAAAATAGCCTGGGAAACAATGGCAAACAAAAGTTGAAAGACCTGACTTTCTGAATCCTAGATTATCAGCTTAATTCACTGAGCTGTAGTATTTCACTCTTTATTTTATAAAATGGTTTTATACAAATAACAGTCAATTGTTTTAAACTTAATTGTTTAGTCACTGTATGTGGACAAATCTTATACAGAATAAATGTCATGTAAAGGATGTGACTTAGTTACAGAGTTTTGATGATAGAATTCAGGTTATCACAGAAGTGGCAGCATTGGGCCAGCTGTTTTTTATGTTGGGAGGTATACTTATTAGTTGGTAATACAGGAGCTTCTTTACTATTCATAGACCAGAAAAAAGAAATCTACAGGTAAGACATGAACTTCACATTCAAATGTCAGCCTCCTTATAGTCTTGTATTAATACCACCAAGTCAAAATTTTTTTAAGTGTAATGATAATAATAGAACATATTCAGCAAGAAAAGCAAATGGATTCCTAAGGCAGAGTATTTTAAAACTACTTAAATAGCATGCTGAACCCTTCAACCCATTCTTTTTCTGTTTTGGCAGCAAAACCCATTGCGTACACTCTCACTGGGAGAAAGAAACCAACAGGAGTTAAAAAAATAGATTTTTCTTTTGCTCAAGATTTTTTTTTTTTCAATTCTTCAAACAAATTATTCCATTGAGAAGTACAACATTTGAGAGCTAAACTCTAAAATGGTAGCTGTTCTGGATAGAGACTCCATTAAATAATAGCAAACAAAGACCAGGGAAATGCCAGTTGCCTTTTTACCTTTCAGCTTGATCAGATCACTTACAAACTCAACTACATTGAGTACATCTTAGAAACGTACACGTAAGAGCTTTCTTATACTTTGCCTCACACTTAAAGATTTCTGAATGTACATTCTACTATATAGTTTCTTTGTTGTGTTTTTGAGACAGGGTCTTGATATACACTTCAGGCTGGCCTTGAGCTCACTTTTAGCCCAGGCTGGTTTTGAACTCGCAGTGATCCTCCTGCCTCAGCCTC